AGCCTAATGCTGTTCTCATTGGCTTGGGCAGGAGTATATTTTCTTGTAATATATTATGGTATTGTTTCCATGATCCATTTTCTCTAAAACATAAGCTCTTTGGTTGTTCTGGTTTCTTATGTATCTGTAACCAGATACTGAACACAGATCCTACCACGTGTTTAATTCTATCAGTGCATTCTATGTAGCCCTTCTGAATAGCTTGAGAATTCTATTGGAGAATTCCCTAACTTCCCTGTAAAACAAAAAGTCCTGCTTGGAGAGAAAGCCATCAGAATTAAACCTACATACTGTAGTTATATAGCATGTTCATGTTCATTTTTAATCTTCAGGTTGAGAGTCAATGCTATCTTGCAGACATAAATATCAACAGATCATATTAATATTTACTAGCTCATTTCTGTGGTATGTCGATGGCCTGAATAGAAATAATAACATAACCATCTTTATTTACCAAGTGGGGGATACCTTAATGCAATTCCTATTTAATGTAATAGGCTTAGTGTCCTTAATCTCAGTGTGAATTGCAGGTATTTGCATGTTGTGATGTCATGAAACTATTGATCTGCTGATGGCCTCTATGGTTCAAACTGTTAATAAATGAAACACCAGACTGAGATATTCTTTTTGGATAATAGTTGGCAGACTTAGTGCGTTACCAAGTAATTGACTGTAGGTTCCTAAAACTTTTATATGCAGGGAACTGTGTGATAGACACAGTTACCCAAAGTTGTTATAAGATGCTGATGTTGAGCCTGATAACCACCAAAATGATGGTGAGATGTAGGACTTCTGGAACTAGATGTTGATTACAGCTGCCAACTTGAGCCAGTAGGTAAGGTCATGTTGCATAGAAAGCAAATTATCTGGTCTAAGGATCTTCCCCACTGGTTAAAGGTTCCCTTTTACACAACCATGAAATGTAGACATTTCTCATATTGACTACTTCAGTGTGATGTACATGGGATGATCCTTGAAGAGTATCCAGAATCTGCAGCTGGTTTAATATATGGTAGCACAAGCAGTTTTGGGTACCTCTAGGCTTGCACATGTAGCACCTCTGCCAAGGGAGCTGCATTGGATGCCAGCTTGGTGACGGGTCCAATTCAAGGTGTTAGTTATCATCTTGATAGTATAGGACTGGGTTATGTTTCGTCCTATTTCATCAACCCATTCCAACCAGGCAGGCAAGGAGGGTATGTTGTGAACTGGGCCAGTAAAGAATTTCAACTGACAGGGTCTAGGAAAAAAGCCTTCTCTACTATTGCTTCCACCTTATGGAACACTTTGCCCCTGGAGGTAAGTCAGGTCCCTACTCCCCTGGCCTTTCAGAAGAGTGTCAAGACTTGGCTTTGCCAACTGACATGGGAGTTTAAGAGTGGTAAGACCGAAAGGAGAGAATATTTTCAGCTCAGGCTGAACTCTGAGATCCTTGGTGCTGTCTCAGCTTGGATGTTTCTTGCAGACATTTCATTACCAAACTAGGTAATGAAACGTCTAGAGTCATTGGTGGGTGATGCTGCTCCCTTTGTCTTGTTAACCTTCTCAAGTGTTCTTTTTAACTTTGTTTTAATTCCATTTTAAAACTTTGTATTAACTATGGTTTTTATATGATCTTACGGTTTTATTTGCAAACTGTTCAAAGTCATGCAAGCGAGATGGGTGTTATAGGTAGGCAGGAAGGTAGGTAGGTAGGTAGGTAGGTAGATAGATGATAGATAGATAGATAGATAGATAGATAGATAGACAGACAGATAGATAAAGATTAGTTATGTGTTGAGTCCTATGCATTTTATCTCTCTTGTTTTCTTTGCTGCCTCTCTATTTGCAACTTGGCCTCATCCCCAAAAATAATAAAAATCCTCCTCCCCTTAACAAACCCCATTTGGGCAGCAATGCATAGCTGGTTGCATTGCTAAAATACAAAGCTTGTAATAGTCAAATATAGAATGACAGACATTTTCAAAGAAGTGGTTAGAGGGACAGAGCAGTTTATACAATAAATTGGTGAACTATGATCCTGTGGGAGAGGAGACACTGTTTCATGCCTCTGCTTTTGATGAAGCACTGATATTAAGGAGTTACAACCATCTTTACATCTCCTCAAATTGAGCTATTACAGGCTTGGAACTCCCGATTTTTAAAACTGCCAAAGGGAACACTGTATTGTATAATTAGAGCGTTGTTGACTATTAACCTGTGTCTGTCTGATTTTTTTCTCTGTACACCTGGTCTAATGAACTTACAGATGGTGTGATTGTGGGAAATCTGGTGATATGTAGAAAAAAGAGAATGGATTGGACTTTCTATTCTGCAGACAGACAGAAACTACAACACTAATAATAATAATAAAGTTGGAAGGGACCTTGGAGGCCATCTAGTCCCTTTCAGACAAATGGCTGTCCAGTCTCTTCTTAAAAACTTCCAGTGTTGGAGCATTCACCGCTTTTGATAGTTGTGTGATAATTTGATAATGCTTTTTAAAGGCAGAGGATATTTTTCATGTTTTTAGTGGCTTCCATGAGTATATCAGTTCTAACATGAGAAGAGGGCCATGGCAGAATATATTTTCTTTTATATTGCAAATGGAAAAGGCCATTTAAGCCACTGAGTACAAATTTACATTTATGCAAGAATGCAAATGAAATCATTCCCATCAGATTGTTATCTAGCCTCTACTTGATCAATTCCAGTAGGGGGGAAATCCATCATTTCTCCGAAGAGTTAGATCTACTGTCATATCACATTTACTATGAAAGGTTTGGCCTCTACAATTGGAATTTGCCTTCCTGTAATTAAACTCTTATCATTCTATGTCCTGCTCCCTGGGACAAGGGAAAACACATCTTGACTACTTTCTGGTGTGACATGCTTTCAAGCTTTTGAAGAAAGCTGTTGTATTCTCCCACAGTCTTATCAAGGCTGAACATTCCCATTTTCTTGAAATGCTTCTTCATATGGCTTACATTTCTGATTGTCTCCTTTCCATTCCTTTCTCTTCTCCTTCCCTTCCCTTTTTTTCAAGTGAGGTTTCAAAAGTGGACATGCTGCTTTAGGTGAAAGTACCTGGGAGTACACCATCCGCCAAACAGATTCCAGTCCCAAATGATGATGCCCGTTTTTTTTCTCTGCAAAATATTGCTGAACAAGACGGTTTGCAGTTGAGAAATGGCAGACTGGGAAAGGTTTCTCTCAGGTTCTGAATTTAATCTGTTCCAAAACCAGCTTTTCATTGTTTCCATGCGATGTGGAATTTTGTGAATTGAGATGACTGGCTCTTATTAAGCCATTGTGCTAAAAATCTTGATTTAACAGACCATTTTAGAGGAGGGATGCCCATTAAATCCAAATTTACATCATTTGTGTAAGTTTACATGATTTGTGTAATTATGTTATTGACATAAAGGAATTATTTTGAATAAATCAATTTAATGCACATATCCCTGATGTAGCCGATAGAAATCTCTTAAATCAGTGTTATGATTTAACCCATTACCGGTAGCAATGCTGGCTGTGGAATTCTGGAAGTTGAAGTCCACATGCCTTAAAATTGTCAAGGTTGAGAAACACTGTCTTAAATAGTGTGGAAACTGAATACATAAATGAATGAAGAATACGTTCATTGTATCTAAATCAAAGTCCAGTAATTGAGAGTTTAGTGTAATATATTCTTCATACAAGATAACTTTCTGTATAGTAAACTTTATTTTACTACATGTGGCATGTTGTCATTTAAGTAATAGAAATATAAATGTTGCAGTAACTGTAGTATTGAATCCATGAGCTTTCCTTTAGATCCTGATAGAGGCTTATCAATGGACCTTTAGAACTGAAAAAACAGTAATTTATTTTGTGGTTCTTTTTATTGTTTGAAATTGCTTTAACTATTTTAGAATTGCAAGCTGTGCAGGATCAGTTGAGTTGGGCAGCTAGAGAAATTGAATAAAATAAATAAATAGTTCAAGTCAGGTGCTATACAGTATTCAGTTATAGAAGACTTGTGTGCCAGAAGACTTATTTGTATAATAGATTTATTTCTGATTTCTGTCTGAAACAGTGCTGCAGAGATGCATGACATACTTTCTCTCTGCGGGTACTTACGAACTAGTAAGCTCTGCTGTCAACTCTGATTATATCAGCATTGTGTCTGGACAGAGAGCAGACTGAGTAGACACAGCAATCTTCTGCTGTGCAAGAGCATGTTTTGAATTAGGGTTAGGAAATACCTCCTGATACTTCAGCTGCACTGTTTCTGAATCTCTTGGCCATGGAAGAAAAGAAATAATGCCTGCCACAACAGCCAGATGTTAGTACCTTAGAGAGAAAGGCTTGTTTCCCAGCTGTTCCTTGCCTTTCAGCTCCCAGTGGCCAAAGTTAGAGAGCGAAAGGATTGATAAAGCTCCCCTAATCTTCAGATGTTCCAGCTGTCTCTCTGTTTCTAAAGCTAGAGGATCTAACTTTGCAGGTTAGAGATTCCAGCCGCTAAGAGAACAGCCAGATGTGGTCCTTCACAAGACCCAACTTCTTTACCCTTCTTGCTGCTTTTGATGCCATTGAAGCTGCTGCAGGTTGGGCCTCAGGAGGCCAAAATGAAAATATTCTTGAAGAAAGCAAGATGAAAACTGCTAGAAGGATAATGAGGCAGAAGGCAATTTAATTTCTGCCTTGTCTAAGATAACTGCAATGGTGACATGTTTATATGTGGAACAGAATCTGGAATTTTTATTCTTTTCATCTTTTATTAGGAAAAGAAATGATCTAGCCTTGATGATGACAGGATGTCAAAAGTGTGTGAGTGACCCTCACGTCTTATAAAGTTAGCTCCAGCAAACATAATAGCTGTAGGCATCATGGCAAAATCTTCACCTTTTAAAAAATCTTTGGGAATGGATGGGTGAGTGGGTGGATGATGGATGGATACATAGATAGATGAGGTGTTTAGAAGAAAAGTGCTCTTATAACATGATGGCGACATTGCTGATGGTCTGTTTCCTTTCCAGCTCCTTCTCTAATGAAATCCTGGGCCTGAAACTGCCTCTGGAGCCTGTGCTGAATGCAAACACTGTCTGCATGAACTTGCCTGGTCTGACACGGCGGCAGTTGGAGGTTTGCATACGGAATCCTGATGTGACGGCATCAGCCATTCAGGGCATCCAGATTGCCATCCATGAGTGCCAGCACCAGTTCCGTGATCAGCGTTGGAACTGCTCTAGTCTGGAGACCAAGAATAAAATCCCCTACGAAAGCATCATCTTCAGCAAAGGTGAGAATTTGCCTCCCTACAGAGGCCCTGTAAAATCTCCAGAAGTTGATAATGTTTGGAAAGAGGCTAAGCTGCTTATGGATCAAGCAGCGGACTCATTCAAGAAGTTGTGACGTTAGAATTTGTTCTAGAATTCAGCAGCTTCTCAGAATGATCAGGTGATATAATTGGGTTAAGTTACAGTGCTCCCCCCAGATGACCTATTGCAGAGGTCCTCAACCTTTTGGGTACCAGGGACTGGTTACGTGGAGAGAGGTTTTTCCGCGGACTGGAGGGGATGTAGTTTTGTGTGCTGCCTGCATCCTGCGGATGGGGCTTTGCTTACTTGTGCGGCCCAGTTGCTGGCATGCCGCAGCCCAGTACTGGTCCACGGACCAGGGGGTTGGGGACCCCTGACCTATTGTATATAGGTAGTCCTTGACTTACAACAATTCATTTCGTGACCATTCAAAGTTACAATGGCTCTGAAAAAAAGTGACTTGTGACTGTTTTTCACAATTACGACCTTTGCAGCATCCCCAGAAATCACATGATCAAAATTGAGATACTTGGCAGTTACTTCATATTTAGGATGGTCTCGGTGTCCGGAGGCTCACGTGACCAGCTTTTGCGACCTTTTCATGAGCAAAGTCAACAGGGCAGCCAGATCCACTTAACAACCATGTTACTAATTTAACAACTGCAATGATTCACTGAACAACTGTGGCAGGAAAGGTCATAAAATGGGGCAAAATTCACTTAACAAATGTCTCACTTAACAACAGAAACATTGGACTCAATTGTGGGCGTAAGTTGATGACTACCTGTATTTGGTGCATTTATTTCTGTCCTTCCAGAAAAAAATACTTAAGGAAATAGGAAAAACCAAGAAGCCATTAAAAATACCTCAAAATAATAAAAACGAAAATAATGAAAATATCCACATCAGAATAAACAATTTACCATAAGGCGGTGCCAAAATAAAAGCAGATTCTAAAGATCAGCAGGTTTAGTAAAGAAAAAATTCAGATAAGAAGAAATGAAAGTTTCAGCCAATGCAAGCTTGATCTGCTGAAATGATAGGCTAAATATTTGTCTTGCTGGCTGTTGTTTATTATAATTTTATTTGGCTACTGAACACATTTATATAGCTGCCCATCTTATATTGAACTCTGGTTTGTTTTTTAAGTGAGAATCCAATCACTGTATTTTAAATTTTGTATGAAAAAGTAAAAGCTCCTTCAAGTTCACCACAGCTCCTGGTGCTTCATAAATTTTTCTGTATAGTTTTCCTGATAACAGTATAGAAAAGATTTCCCATTTCCTTCTTCTGGGATAATTTCCCAGTTTCCCAGGTTTTCCTCTGCCATGGAATTCCCTGGGGCTTTCCCGTCCATATATTAAGCAGTCTCAGTCTGCCAATACCACCCAGCCAAGATCAGTCAGATCCTACTACTGCTGTGACAAAAACAGAAATATAAACTCAGGGAAGATCTGTCGACATTTAAAATAAAGCCAATGTGAATGGATTGGAACATTGCATAAAAGCCTAGTAGATAGTCCAATGTGCTTTTCAGGATTCCTGGCCCTGGGATCCACCTCAATTGTCTAGCAGTCAGTCTGTCTGCAAATTAAAACCCTATTGTCTCACTAGGTGGGAATCTGCCAGTTTTGGGGAGTTCTGGCAGCTTTGGGATTTTGTTATGTATGTGCATGTGATAATCTCTTCCTGAGGTTGATCAGAGATATTTGGTGTGTGTGTGAGAGTTAATGTAGTACAGTAGCTCTTCTTCAGGTATCAGGATGTTTCAAATTCCTTCCCAGTTGGAAAGACAGGTCAGATAAGTTGGATAATAACATATTGAGATAGTTTGTTGTAGACAGGCAGGCACTTCAGATGCTTATCATGAAAAACTTTTATGGAAGATGTTTCACTGCTAATTGGAAGAAACAATGCCCTTCCACGCGGCTTTGTTAATTGCTGGAACTCACTACTACAGGATATAATTCATAGCCCAGGGGCAGGCAACCTCAGCTCTTTTATGACTTGTGGACTTCAACTCCCAGAATTCCTGAGCCAGCATGGCTAAGCATGGAAATCTCTCCCTTTTCCCTCAGCATGCCTGGCTCAGGAATTCTGGGAATTGAAGTCCACAAGTCATAAAAGAACCAAGGTTACCTACCCCTGTCATAGCCTGAGAATTTAAGATGAAAAGGAATTGGAATCTCCACATGACAGAATAGCAAGGCTTCTATGTAACTTCTTATAGGTTTAGCTTTGTGGTGCTTAGTGTCAGTTGTTGCTTCTTTGCAGACACATTGTGTGGTTCTTGGGGAACAAAGTAGCTCCCTGCTTCTTGATTGAATACAAAACCTCTCACACCGTTGGCTGAGGCCATCTCCTTTGGATACATATGTGCATATTAGAGAATGATAGCTACATCAGCAGCTCTTATTGGCATCAACAGAAAAAAGACATTTATTTATTTATTTTATTGTAGAGGTCATTTGCATCTCAGTATGTCTCAAGATTTGGGTTGCTTACAAGTCTTGTTCCTAGTAACCTAAAGTGGGCAGATCCTTTGAATCATTCTTGCCTTTACTACTGCCATTAGCTCCATCATTTTTCCATTTGTTTTTGATCTTTTATACCCCAACATTTCCTCTTCCAATTATATGATGAAGAAAACCTCCATCTTTCAAGGCTCAGGAGTTTGTTGTTCTTCTCCTTCCAATCTTGGTTTATCTGGATGGACTGAATTGGTTGGACACCAGGAATCTGCTTCTGGCTAATGTAATGGGAAAATTTAAGGTAGATGTGAAATAATTGTGTTGCTTGCAAACAAAACAACAATTAATTTTCTGTTGTGCCCTTAGTTTAAGGGATCCAGCCAGGTATGCACTGCCTAGTATTGTTTTGCTGATAATTTGCAGTTGAAAATCATGACAAGAGTTGTGTCTGCACACTCTGCAGTTTCAACATGGATGCATTGAAGGATTTCTGGAATTTCTTCTGCATCATTGCCTTTTTGGCAAAACATAAGATGTTCACATAATCCCTAATTTTGTATGCTTAGACAAAAAAAATGGTGCTGTCCCACTGGTTTTTTTTATTGTGACTTACATCTTTCTTTCATTAGAAGCATTTTTCCTGTTCATGGAATTGAGCCCTGGGCAGCTGAACTATTGAGGGTGAAGAAACAAAAGAAGGAAGGAAGGAAGGAAGGAAGGAAGGAAGGAAGGAAGGAAGGAAGGAAGGAAGGAAGGAAGGAAGGAAGGAAGGATCGCCTCATCTTCTTTTTCCCTTCCAGGAAGACTTCCATGCAGGGCTTGTATGCCATTCCTGGACCACCTCAGTCTCATCCCAAGCTATCATTCCATAGGGCAGCTAACCTGGGTTTTTTTGTGCTTAGTTGTGGCACATTTCTCTTATTTGCAGTGTTCAGACCCCCACAAAGCTTGGAACAGTGGTTTTCCCATTTGAGGGAAGCCTCCCTTGAAGCTTGCTAGTAGGTGTCACAGGTAGCCTTATCAACAAACCTTTTTAATCTTTCTGCAAACTTTCACAATCCCTGTAAAAAAAACCCAACCCAGTTTATTTTTCTCCATTTATATAAGCAGTCTACCTCCAATTCTTGCCTCGTCCTACCTCCCAGCCTTTGGGCTCAAGCAAACCATTATGCTTTACCATGCACACATAGAAGCCATACCCTGAATTTAAACCACGATTGTCACTTTTTAGGAAGAATGACTGGCTGTGATGTGAAGATGCCATACATCACTGCAGCATTCAATTGGAATTTATATTAGGAAGAAGATCTTCTTGAGACTCTTAACAGCATTTTGCTCATAGCACCAGATCTAGCAAAAGATGAGAGTGGGAAGCTAGCAATTTATTTTGCCTCTTTTTGTTGATCCTGGGGAAGCAGAAGGCTGAAAGGACTTTTGTTACCCCAGGTGCAGCTGTAGCACAAGGCTACATTCTTCACACTGATTGGCTCATGATGGGATTCCATGCTTGCTCTCAGAGTTTTAGTTTTAGCGGGCTAGCTTCAGCACTACTTTGCAGGGATTGGAGAATAAAAACAGTAGCTTAAACCTATTATTGAACCTGATGATGATGATGAAATAACAACAGTAATAATTACAATAATAGTAAATAATTATTATTATTTGGAACAGCTTACATCCTGTGATGATACCTTTCATATTATTTTTATAACAACATTTTATAACAACATCTGCTTGTCTCAGGTTCTTAGGAAGGATTCGATAGGTGGATAAAAATGACAAACCCAGGCTAAATATCTGGCTAACTTTGTGACCAACCATCACAATAACAAAGTCTCCTTCAGCAGTTTGATAGAGTCTTATATATTTGCATGTAACATACAATTAATTCTCTTGAGATCCAACTCATGGTTACTTTGACCTCAGATGCTGAATTCGGCAAGGGGATCTCGACAGTGGTGGGTTTCAAATGTGTGAACAACTGGTTCTCTGTGTGGATGCCGCTTCCGGAAGTCCATTCTGGGCCTGGGAACAAAAAATTAGTTACCGGTTCTGCCAAACTGGTGTGAACCGGCTGAATCCCACCACTGGATCTCGTAGAAATCTGATCAGAATTTCCCTGCCAAGAGAAGCACAGTTAGATAGCTTTAACAATGTATGTGTTTTTTATGTGATGCCTTTTAAAAATGTAATCTCTTGATATATTCTACAGCACAAGCTATAAATGGGATGGATTCCTAAATACATATGTATAGAAGTCAGAACGACGAGCAAATGTGGTAGAACCTATTCTGTCATTCTGCGTGCTTTAGGATTCATTGCAATTATTCAACTTTGTAATGTTCTTTTTTAGAAAGACTGTGGGTGCCCTTGGGATGGGCAAGGTAAATATCACACGTGCCACAGCTCAAATGATACAAATCACATATAATGCATCATTTGTATCTTGTGCAACAGATACAAATTACGTAATTCACATTAGCTGAATCATGATGTCATTGGATTTCTAC